TTTAAACATGAATATTAAACTTTGTGCTGTACTAATTTATTTTTTTAATATTTATCTGATTATTCCTTATCTGATAAAATGTGTACTAAGTAACATATGCTTCTGTCTCAAAACCAAGATTTTGTTCTGTTCAGTCTTAGCCATGGGGCTATCCTGAGCATGCCACATACATGAAAACGAAAGGTATCGTAGTAGCCATCACATCTTCTACCAGGCCACCCTTGCAGAAGCAGAGTTCGCCCACACCTTTGACATCCAGAGGGGCATATTCTCACAAATCAAAATGTAAAGTTCCCCTAAGCTCTACAGTGTCAACTTTTTTGTGTGGCCAGAATAAAGCAGAGAATGACAGAGGATGGCAGCTGGGATGAGCTGGTGACCTAATATAGTCTCAGCAACCATCACAAAATGAAAGTAATAAACATCACTGTGTTCAGGGGCCCACCAAGGTCCTCTGTAAGACCACGTGTGAATGATTAAGGCCTAAAATGAGCCCCTGCTCCTGTAGTCTTGGCTTCGGACTCTAATATGCCTGTGATTTCTAAAGGTATATTTGCCTCCAGTGCTTTCAAGTAATGCTGGCCTTTAATTCTAGGTCTGCCTACTGGACATTTCTGCTTACTGTATTATGTCATGGATATACCCATGTTAATGTTGAACTTACTTATCAATTGCAAGAAGTTTGCTTTTCATTCTATGTTCTCCATTTCAGAGAATTGCAATGCTGCTTACCAGATTGCCAAAGCTAGAAATTATTTAGTGATTTCTAAATAGTTTTAGAAATCTAAATTTAGAAATTACATTTCTAAATAGTTTTTAGGTTATTTAGTGATTTATTTCTCTCATTTTAACTCCTTGAATTATCCACCAGCTCTTACAGTTTCTACACCCTCTTTTCTTGTAGTTTATAACTGTTTTTAGTTTCTACTACCACTGCTTTTGTTGACACCCTCATAAACTGAATCCCAGAGCTGCTACTTTCGAGCTGTATGACTTGGAGGAGACATTTAGATTCCATTTCCTCCTCTGTAAAAATAAATCATGCCTCAATAAAGCTGGAAAAAGGCACATATAATTTTTAAAAGATTGTGACATTAAAGAAAGCTTTAATGATTGAAAACATCTTTTTTTAAAGAAAGGATGCATTTAGAGAATGCCAGAAAGAACTATTAAAAAATAAATATTAATAAATAGAATGTATCTCTGCCTTACAAAGTAGTTTTGAGGATTACGTGAGATATTCTAGGCAAAACTCAGAACAGTACATGGTTCCTTGTAAACATTTAATGACGGATAAACCCGTGTTCATCCTCATACTTTGCTCAGCTTGACTATTTCCTAAGCAAGAACTTAGGGAAATTTCTTAACCTCCCTGTGCCTAGCTTCCTCGCCTGTAAAGTTGAAATGGCAATAATACCTACTTCATAAAATTTTCTGAGGTTTAAATAATTTAATGCCTTTTATACATGTAAAAATTAGAACAGTGTCTGATTCATAGTAAGCACTTAATATATATTTATTATAAATATTAATGTTGTTATCAAAATCCTGAGAGCTGTATTGTCTTTCATCCTGACCCATATAATCTATTTTCCCACCTCACCATCAGAATGAACATAAAATACAAATATCATCATCTTCTTTTTGCTCCACATCTTTCAATGGCATTCTCACCCATAGGAGGTCTTATTCTGGACCTGCATAACAACCTGGGATCTGACCTAGCCCTTCAATTTCTATTCATATTTGCACTGCTCACCCCAAACTCTCCATATTGAGGCCAGAGAGAAACCTATTTTACTCCATCCCCCAACAATCAAACAACCACCAACAAAAAAGCTATTTTATCTCATAGCTGCATTAATTACCTTCATATCAACCTGACAAATTCTAATATGTAGTTTAAAATTCACCATAGTAAGCTACTACTTCATGTAACTTTCTGTGCCTCCCCTAGAAGAATTGTGTGCTTCCAACTTAATTACTGTAATCTTGTATCTGTACTCTGAAGTCTAGAATTAAGTAGAGTTAATGCTTATTTGTTAAAAGGTTTGGGGAAAGATAAACTATATATACATATGTATATACATATACACATGCACATATACAAAAAATACATAATCATATAAGTTAATATTGTTCTTGTGTCTATGCTACTAATTTCTCATATTTAGGACCTGTGTTGATAATTGTTAACACTTATTAGGAAAATATACTTGTTTTGGCTTCTCCATAATTACTAAGGTCTCCCTAGAACAAGCAGCACATTTGCAAAGTGCATAAATGGTACAAAGCCTGGATCTGTGAAACAGTGATACTAGTTGGTTCACAATGTATAAGTAACTTGGGTATAGGCTTCAGCTAAAAACGTTGCTCTAACAAACTGAGGTTAATAGCCAATTTAAGCTATGAGAAGTAGGGAAGAGTGGTTAAGAAAATGGGCTCTGCTTTTGGAAAATCCGAGTTCAAATTCCAGTCAACTACTTACCTGCTGTATGATCTTTTCCATGTTTCTTAATCTCTGGGAGGCTGCCTCCCTATGAAGTGAAACTAATAGTGATACCCATATAAAAGGATTACTGAGAGTATTAGCTGAAGTAATATGAGTTACATTTTAAACTTGGACTCTACCAAACATTCAAATTCACAAGACTCAGAAGGTTGCTGTAAGCTATGCCTGGCATCACTGTGCTTGGAAAGATACAGAACAGGGCTGGACATGGTGGCTAATGCCTATAATCCTAGCACTGTGGGAGGATCCTTTGAGCTTAGGAGTTCCGAGACCAGCCTGAGCAAGAGAGAGACCCTTCCTCTCTACTCAACATAGAAATAAATTAGCTAAACAAGTAAAAATATATAGAAAAAATTAGCCGGGCATGGTGGCGCATGCCTGTATTCCCAGCTGCTCAGGAGGCTGAGGCAGGAGGATTGCTTGAGCCCAGGAGTTTGAGGTTGCTGTGAGCTAGGCTGATGCCACAGCACTCTAGCCTGGGCAACAGAATGAGACTCTGTCTCCAAAAAAAAAAAAAGGAAGGAAGAAAGAAAGAAAAGAAAGAAAGATACGGAACAGTAGAACAGCAACCAGAACTTGTCATTATTGTAGTATCAGACATTCCTCATCTGGTGGGGATTCTTCTAGATATCCATGCAGGTCAGATGCGAGAAGATGAGTTCCACGTCAGATAAGTCCAGGAGCTGGTTTAAAACTTTTGTTTCCCACATGAGCTGATGTCTCTCAAAGGGATCCCACATTCACAGCCTCCAAGGTCACTATAAGAGACAAATCCTGTTCTAGGATTTGACACATGCAAGGGAAGCCCAAAGCTCTGGCTGCTTAGCAGGTATTTATAATTTCCCCAGTGTAGGTAAATTTTATCTAAAGGAGTCATTTTAACACAAATAATATGACCTAGTAACATAGTTGACATTCCAACTTTCATCAGCTTATCAGGGTGACTAACTGGAGACAGTTAACCAATGGTCACATTCTCTACAAAAAGCTGAAAGGGATTGTTAATCCTTTGCCTGCACATAGAATATGAACTTAATAAGTACTAAAAAAAGGATCATATACTCATATGCATATGAAAATAATATTAGGAAGGATAAAAAATGTATCTAAAGAAAATGAAATATTTAGAATTTTGTAAGAAGGGAGTTTAGAAGGCATCATTCAGTCATTATTTTGCCTGATTTTCATGGGTAAACTCGTAAGTGTAAGAGTGAAAACTTGCTCATCACAGAGAAAGTTTTGCTCCATGGGTAATAAGTGTGTCACTTCATGGCATTTGAGTAGAAATGGGATTTTGGTGCTCTCTGTTGTTGTAGGGAAAACAGAGTTGATGCACAGAGCCCTTTTACCACCAGTCTCAGATGATCTTCTTCCCAGACCTCTCAAGTCAGACAAATTGACTGTGATGCTTTGAGCTGTAATTGTCTCCTAGGAATGCAATTTCTGTACACATGCCAGTAGGATTAAGAAGATTAAATGTGAATTGTACATTAAAATGGACCAGCCACTCTTTATGGTTGGTGGCCACAGTTAAATAGAGCACCTGAATGACGAGAGAGAATTATCAGTGCATTTTCCCATTAGACCAAAAGGTTTTCATGGCTAAAGCTGCCTATGTCTTGTAAATATGCACTATTGGTTGTTGAGAATGGGCAAGAGTTCAACAAAGAATCAACACAAGTCCATCCAACTCCAGGAAAACTCCTCAAAGTGCATGTGCCCTTTAGTCATTGGCAACCATAACATCATCTTCACCTTCATATGTTGACATTACAATTTAGAATCCAATGTTCTTTTAATTCAAGTAGGAATAAAGTTTGAACATAGAAACTTTACTGATAAAATAAATATCAACAATATATTTAGAGGATATCTCTACAGTCTATGGGTAAACAGATGCATATCTCTAATGCTTATGATGTAGTTAATTAGGATACTCACATATTGTGTATTAAGTTATGAATGGAAAAGTGGATATATTTGAATAAGCATGCATTAAATTGTAAGTTACATCTGAAGTTTCAAGTGATATTAAAAATAATGCTAAGGCACATCTTAAATGATTTTTTCTGTTCAAAACAGTATTGTATTAAGTTATCTGGGCATGTTTACTTAAATCACTAAACAGAATGGAAATTAGCATATGTTAGCAGCTCTTGGTTTCTCATTTTCTAAATTAAAATAAATCTGGAATGAGTAAAATGAACAATATGGTAAACTTAGCTTCAGCTAATTTTGCTTAATCCCGTTTATTTTCTCTTTCCTATGAGTGGTTTAACAACTCTTAGAAAACAGGAGGAAATGCAAATGTTAGTTTTGAGTCTAACTGCTTTTCCACATCATAAATGTTGATATATTTTCAATGAAATTGGAATCACACCTCCAAGTAAAAATGAAAATGCCCAAGCTGATTGCACTCTGGAGTGGAGACGACAACCTTCATAACAGCCTGCGAGTCTATAATGAAATTATCAATGCTCTTTTGCAGCTTTTGCCAGCAAGAGAAGCTGCCAGTGACCTTCCAGTCCTGTGTGATCACCAAAGAATGCCAGGTTTCTGAGTGGTCAGAATGGAGCCCGTGCTCAAAAACGTGCCATGATACAGCATCCCCTACAGGCACGCGTGTAAGGACACGTACCATCCGGCAGTTTCCGATTGGTGGTGAAAAGGAGTGTCCAGAACTTGAGGAAAAAGAACCCTGTGTGTCTCAAGGAGATGGTGTTGCCCCCTGTGCCACGTGAGTAAATAAAGATGGGGCAGTGTCTGCCCAAATTGCTTTTGTTCAGCTTTTTGATTTCAACTGAACAGTATGTTGAGAAATAATGATTTTTACACATTCTAAGTGGAAAAATATCTCTTTACTAACACTATTCTAAAAAAAAAAATACATACACACACAGAGACAGGTTTTACAGAATAAAAGTGTCTTTAACAAGTTTTATTTCCAAGTCTACATTGAAGGCTAGATTTTTAGCAGCAATTCTGTGTTTATGTATTTTCTATAATACATAACAGGCAAACTTTTTCTGTAAAGGGGCAGATAGTTGATACATGCAGACCACATGGCCTTGTGGCCTTGCAGACCACATATGTCTCTGTTTCAGTAACTCAACACGTCCATTGGAGCTATAGACAATACATAAACAAATGAGTGTGGCTGTTTTCCACTAAAACTTTATTTACAAAATCAGGGTGACAGGTTGATTTGGTCCTTAGACCATAGCTTGTCAGCCTCCAGTTTATAAGGTAAAATAAATTTTCATAAAATAGGTTTCTGTTATCTATTAAAATGTAGTACTGTATATAACAAATCCTGTTCAATAGAGTAAAATACTACATCAAAATAATAAGACTGTGAGCTCCTTAAAGACAAAGATTGTGCTTATTAATCTTGGGGTTTTGTTTCAGGATTTTTTTTTTTTTGCTTGTTTGGTTTGTTTTTTGTTGTATCATTAGCATTTATCACAAGGCCTGGCACCCATAAATGTCCAACAAATGTGTGTTGAATTCAGATTAAATAAGACCAGTTCTGAAATATTTGGCAGTATAATGGTATACATTTTGTCCTTAAAAACATCATTTCCAAGATATTATTGTGAATTATCTTGTCAATAACAACATTTCAGCTATTCAGAATGCAGAATATTTATAAAGTAACTTATAGAATATTAGTTTCCCAACAGAGACGCTCAAAATTCATTGAGATCGTCTCTGGAATATTCCAAACATAGAGAACATGCATATAGCCTGAACTTTGTGAACCAATGAGGAGGCAAATTAATGCAACTACTATTACTACTAATAATAACCAACAAAAATAGTGATGATTTATGAGATCTTCAATTTTGCAGCACTTTGGACTCATCCATTATCCTTTGATATAACAAGTGACTGAAAACTCCACAATTTCCTTCCAATATCTCTCCTTCCTCACTATGTAATAAAGCCAAGGAAGTTGCCAGGATTTCCATTGTTTTCTCTCCTACAAGTTTCTTCTATTTTTTTCTCAAGCTAGGTGTTATCTTTATCTTTTCAGTTATTCAAACACCATTAACAAAAGAAACATATATCCTTGAGTCTCTTTATCCTCCCCATTTTGGGGGAGTAGTATTTTTATTAGAATGTGTAACCAATTTACATTAATGAATGTCTATTCCTCTCATAGGGCTTCTTCTTATGACCTAAATTGGAAGTCCATTCTATTGAAAAGTAAAATGATTATTGTAACTCTCCTAACGAATGACTTGTTTGGTGTTACTTCCTCCCACCTCCCATCTCCCCAACCAGGCATCAATTATCCACGTTTCTAGAATTGATTTGAGTGCTGCACATAAACAAGTGTCAAGTGCTGTTCCTTGATGACCCCTTCCTACAACTCTGTTAAGCCACGAATCCCCACTTATAAAAATGAAAAACAGGCATGAGGCTTAGCTTTCTTCTCATGAAACTTTTCCATTGACAGAATGAGGCATCTAGATCAGACATCTGATGGCCCATTTAATCTTTTTGTCTGATTGAGATGAACATTAGCACATCCATTTGTACCTAGGTGGGCCGTTCATCTGATTACTAAAGGAAGCATCTTGGTTAAAGTGACACAAAGTGCTACATGAGCCATTTTCTTCATGCTTTTAGAATATCCATTTTCCTTGTGGTGGAGAAATGCCATAATTTCCTATCTGGTTGCCTTGCTATCTCCTTCAAGCACGTGTTGGAGTGACAATCCCCCGACATTTCTTTCACATCGCAATCTTGATAGGAGCTTTAATTGAGCATCATAGATCGTCTTTCGTGTGCTCCTCTGATTAGAAACGTTCACTCTTTGCATCATTCATCAGCACTCATCAGCGATCCTTCGTGCTACAGGGAAAAAAAAAGGCATTCTTATTCATGACAATAAAGGGAAAACTCTGAATTTTCCTGTTACATTTTTAAAATCCTAACACACAATTATAATTTTGCTCCAGTATGAATAAGCAATTTTCATTCATTTTACTAAAGGCAAAACAAACGTTTGGGTTCATCGTCGCTTAAAACATTTTCCATTCTCAGATTCAATTTTCCTTTGTTTATAAGCATCCAGAAAGGGCAAGTCTGGGTTCAGCTTAATTGAACATAAAATTTCATGTTTTCAGCATTATGCTCTCTATTCATAAAATATTTATAAGCAACTTCCAGTAGTTGCAATTAAAACCGGATCACCCTAAATTTAACCCCTCTCTAAGTGGAGCACTGCTGAGCATAAAGGAGAAGAAGGGATTGGAACTGAACTTGCACCATAGATGTAGTCGACAGTGCTTTCTAGAGGAAAATGGTTTTTAGAGTAATTCATGAGAAGAGTGGAGAAAAGTTTTATTCAAAAAATACGGTTGCCATCGCTGGCATTTTCTTTTTTCAGGTATGGCTGGAGAGCTACGGAGTGGACCGAGTGCCGTGTGGACCCTTTGCTCAGCCAGCAGGACAAGAGGCGCGGGAACCAGACGGCCCTCTGCGGAGGAGGCATCCAGACGCGAGAGGCGTACTGTGTGCAGGCCAACGAAAACCTCCTCTCCCACTTAAATGCCCACAAGGGCAAGGAAGGTAAACGTTGCTTTCTTCTCGAGAACTCACTTGGGGATGACCCAGCATGCGATTGGTCCGGTGGGATATACAGGGCCAATTGGGGCATGAAGAGCCATGTTTCTGTTTGCATTATAGTTGGTATTCACTATGGTAAACAGTAACCCACATTATGTGGTAAAAAACAAAAAATTAATACATCACCACCTTTGATCAGTTCTGAGTTACTGATGACTGAGTCCTTCTTTAGATTTTTGACTTAAATGCCTCCTGACTCAATCTCTGCATCAAAATTTAGCAGGAGTAAATTAATTATGCAGCTATAATAAAAATTCATGTCGTAACTATATACATATAATACAATGAGTCTAAAATCCAAAAGAACCAAAACCGCTTGTTAAAGAAAAATCTCATTTTGATAAAATATGGTTAAAAATAAGTTAATTATGATATTGAGTAAAATTTCCAACTTGAATCTAAAAGATGTAAATATAGATTAAAAACAATAGTAATAGAAATCTTTAGCCCAAAGGCATGACTTTTCTTTTTAACCTCTAAATTGTTTGACAGATATAGTTTAGATTTTTTTTTCATCTTAAATCTCAGTTTTGGGACCACATGCAGTAAGAATAGGTGAATCCAATATGACTGGAGCTAAAAGTATATATTAATATTACTCTAGGCCGGGCGCGGTGGCTCACGCCTGTAATCCTAGCTCTCTGGGAGGCCGAGGCGGGCGGATTGCTCGAGGTCAGGAGTTCGAAACCAGCCTGAGCAAGAGCGAGACCCCGTCTCTACTATAAATAGAAAGAAATTAATTGGCCAACTAATATATATATAGAAAAAAATTAGCCGGGCATGGTGGCGCATGCCTGTAGTCCCAGCTACTTGGGAGGCTGAGGCAGAAGGATTGCTTGAGCCCAGGAGTTTGAGGTTGCTGTGAGCTAGGCTGATGCCATGGCACTCACTCTAGCCTAGGCAACAAAGTGAGACTCTGTCTCAAAAAAAAAAAAAATAAAAAAAAATATTACTCTAAAATTCTCTTCATTATTCTATCAAGTTTATATTAAATTAGTACCTCTTAAGTCCTCGCAAATATGATCATTTTTAAGCAGTGCTGTATGCAGTCTTTTTACTCTATCTGAGGTGAGGGATAGCAGGACTTCTATCTCAAGTCCATTCAACATATATCAATTGGTTGAAAACAGAGTTCTAAAAATTATATAAGATAGTGAGGATAGAAATGGCAATGCAGGCTTCATGTCATGGAAGTCCTCAAAGTCATCATCAGTACACATAAATAAACCAATAAACCAAACAAACCAAAAATTATAGTACAATAATTATAGTATAATAATAGTACAAAAAGTATAATAGTACTGTTATTATTAGTACTATTACTAATAGTGCTATTACAATAATACAATTGTACAATAGTACAAAAATTGTACAAATATAGTACAATAATTATTGTATAACAATTATAGTACAATATGCTATGCTGTATTACTGAGTTTTAGAATGACTGTAGTAGGATCATAGAAGCAGAGCTCTTCATAGAGGAGGTGGCACTTGGACTGACTGATAATGGTTATACTCTTTACAGATAAGTGGGTCATAATGCAAGAGGGAGTTTATTCCAGGCCAAGGGAACAGCATGTATTAAGGCACAATACTAAAGAAAAGCAAAAAGGACAAATCTTATTGATAAAGATGAGCTTGTTGTATTTGGCAAGTTTTGGATAAGATAGGATAGTATTTCATAGAAAGTATTTTGGTTGGAAAAGAAAAAGAATAAGATAAAGGCCCTATTTGATCCCAGCAAATAAAAGACCAAATAAATGAGGGAGGGAATCTGAGCAAGAATGATAAGAAAAGAAGGCAAGGAACCAAGAGAAACTAATATTCTAAAACCCAAAAAAAGTAATGTTTCCTCTGTCCCTCTCCAAAAGGAGTGGGAGCAGGGACCAGTTATTTATGGAAGATAAACACTAAAGCTTTGCACGTGCAACTTCCAAAATCTAATTGTTCTGTATTCACTAACTTTACATAGCATGTCAACTCATTTAGAAATCTAGCCTAGGGATACTTTTTACTACTAATGTATCTTGAAGTTGTAAGGAAGTAGCATAAAACACGTAATGTTAGTACATTAATATTTTCTTGGCCACTTTCATGGCTGCATTTTTAACACTCTTAAGTAGATTTATTACAGCAGTCCTTTCAGAGTAGTATAATTTCATTGCCAGAGGTAGATCAGATTTTAGTTTCTGAATGTCAATTATGTCCTGTAGGTTATTACTTTCAAAAGATCCTTCAGAATTCTAAATTGCAACTGGATATTTTTTAAACCGTTTTTTCATAAAGTCCACCCTAACTCTGCCAAATCACTGCAGATACCAAAAATAAAAGTTGCAGAAAGAAAGGATAACAGAAAGAATATCACTATTAAGTTATATTTGTTGGACTAAAGCAAATGCCAAAGCAAAGGTCAATAGATAAAGAAATAATTAATTCACCTAAAATTAATATTTATAATGTAAATATGTAACATGAATAGCTTGGGAATTTGTGTCCTTTCATATCAAATACCAAGAATACTAATAAGCCTCTTGCAATCTTTGTAAAACCAGTTGCAAACCCTAAAAGTTGAACCTTTTATTCCCCAGAATTTAGACTAGGTGAATTTCCCCCCAGTAGTACTTAACATTTCCCAGTAGGAAACATATCCAGCACACCAGCATCTCAGGGGTGATGTATAAAGACTATAAATATGTATCACTGGATAACAGTTAGAACGTGAGCTGGGAAGATTGTTCACAGTCTATCTTCATTTAATAAATATGGAAGGATGAAAGTTTACCTTATAAAGGAAGAGAAATGTCCTAAAACAACTCCCTAACCAATCCTAGTAAGACTAATTTCAAGAAACCTTGACTGTGTAACCTGCACTAAGAATAATTCATTTTGTACTTAATGTGAAGAATACCTCTACACTGTTCTTTTTGCAGATTCACACCATGTGTTCTATAGATGACTTGTTTTTACATGTGACACAAGATGTTAAAAACACTTTAACTCAAAATAAAATAATTTAAGTCAAAACCAAAATTTCTTGATACAAAAATACTGAAAGAAAGTGATGTGAAAGTCACATAAAGTTCTTTTATTAACTTGGCACATCATATTTTACACAGGGGAATGGTAATGACCACCTCCTCCACATAAAGGCAGGGAGACATTAATCACTTTATTCACTGGTGTATTCACTAGAATTAACAGACTGCCGCCATATTAACCAGAAAATTTCTCATCCTTGGAACTAGTATATTTAATTTCCAGAAAGTCAAAATATATATCATTAAAGTACAAAGTGTTTATTTAGTATGATATTCAAAATGTGATATGCTATTTTTGTCAGTTGAATCATATCATCAGAATATTAAGTTGGTGATGACATCTATCGACAATAGGAAAAATATATCTACTTGATACTGAAGAGAGTTTATAATTTAGCTATAGGTAATCCTCCCAATTCTGACAACTTTTCCCCTACAATATACCAGTGAGCAAAATTTCCACTGCACCACTTCTTTAGAAGAAAGTCTTGACACATTTCCTCCTGAGTAAAACTCTTGACAATTTCTGTTCAGCCAGCTGATCAGAATTCCACTAGGCTATGAAGAATGTCCAGTTTATGCTCGCATGAAATCTACCCTGATTAGAATATGACAGAAAGAGACCTTGCCCATGGGGAGGTTATCTGCATGAGTCCTAGAAAGCCGATGAAAATGTTGCTGATCATTGGATGCATGGAAGTAAATTGATTATTTTTTTAGAGCTCAAAATGAAATGAAAGTAGATTTTAGCTACAATAACTCAAAAATTATTCCATTTGGTACAGATTTAACATGTTTTTAAATGACAGAAATTGAAAGTATTGGTTGTAAGGCACCATGAAGCTTACAGTGACTTATATGACAGGAAACTTAAACAAAAAACATTCCTCTGTAGAAACCCTATCACACAAGCCACACTAAAATCTGGACAGAGTTTGTGGAGTTGGAAGTTATTAAGAAAGACAGCCTAGATAGTGAGCCTGTATGATGGCATGTAATGAGATATGCCAGAAAGGATTGGAGGATCAATGGAAAGATAGGTGGAGAGAAGGATGGTTGAACTGTGAATACAGACATAAGGAAAAATACAGAACTCATGGCTAGTACTTTCAAAAGATCTTTCAGAATTCTGAATTATTTTTTAAACCATTTTTTTCATAGAGTCCACCATGTTCAGCATAGAGTTCCCACGTTCAGCAAAGAAAAAGGAAATACAATGGTCACACTATTCCTAAATTAAATGCAAATTATTTATCATTGTAGTCTTTTATCTACAGTTTCCACAAATGAACCCACTTTACTCAAAGCTTTTTGGAAAAGAAAAAAGAAAAGAAAGGCTATGCTTATGGTGGCTTTTCCCTGTTATTTCAGAAAGTAAATATCAGAGTACGTCGAAGTCTAGTGCTGCACCTTTCCTATCGATCACTTTTGAAATAACAGGTAGGTGAGAATATTTTAAATGGTATTTCCATCAGAAATGTGTATCAGAGAATCATGCATCTCTGATACCTAAGAGGTTCTCCATAGGTTCCCTAATGCGATCCTTAAACCATCTAGGAAAGACAGTGGTTTACTTTTACTTTCTGTTTTGCTAGAAATATATTGAAGCTGTCCTATGAAATAGAAATGATTTTCTTTGGTTTTTTTTTTTTTACTTTATATAAGACATTATATAAATGTAAATTACAGAAAAATATAAAAAAGATTTTTTAATTTGCTGACTTCTGAAACTTTCACTAGGATATCATAATTATACAAATGGATATATAAAGTTTGGTTATGAATACTTTAGTTAAGAGAAATTAATGTAGGTATGAACACTTCATAATTTATCATATTTCTGAGTACATCACTTTGGGCTTCTTAAAGTGGTAAATGAAAAAGGAACTAAAACATATGATG